TAAAATATGAAATGGCTGCAATGACTGTAATATGACAAAGAAGGATAGGCGTTGGGTTTGTTTTGCCTAATTTACAGACTAAATATTTAAAAAAAAGTCGGTGTGACACCGCCCCAGGGCATGCACCAAAATAAATAGTTGCTGTCTTCACTGTATGAAGAATAAGTATGCAAAGTTCCAAGATGATCCATTCCGAATTGCAGCCTGTAGACGATAATCACAAAAGTTGGGCGTGGCTCTGCCCCTGGGGGTTGGATATGGAACAATACAAATAGCTTCAACCTGGTTATTGAAATGAATGATATGCCGAATATGAAGAAAATCTGTTAATAATTGTAACAAAAATTTAACAAAATGGTGGGTGTGGTACCACACCCCTGGGGATCGGTACAAACACCAAAATGAAAAGTTTCTTTCCTTACGATATAAATATGCCAAGTTCCAAGATGACCCATTCAGAACTCAATTCTGTAGACAAAAAACATTAAAATTGGGCGTGGCTCAGCCCCATGAGGTTGAACATGGACCAATATAAATAGGTACAACCCTATGATGGATCATGCCCAATTCGATCAAAATCAGTTAATAATTGCAATCTGTAGATTATTTACAGACAAAGTATTAACAAAGGGTGGGGGGGGGTAAGTATACCAAGTTCCATGATAATTCTTTCAGGGGGGGGGGGGGGGGGGTCGGCACATATACTAAAATCAAGAGTTGGCGTCTTTAGGCTTTAAGGAATGTATACCAAGTTCCAATACGATTCATTAATAATTGTTGTCTTTAGGCCACCAAATATAATAGGGATCATCCTTACAGTATAATGAATAAATATGTAAAGTTTTCAAGACGATCCATTAAAGGACAATATTGGTGCTAGTCATTATCACATATGTGATAGAACTAGTTAAACACGTTCCAAATATAATTTTAACACAGAGATAATGAAGGTTTCAACAGTCGGAAGTAACGAACGCAAAAGGAAAACACGAGTTATCTCTCTATATAACAAAGAGAAAATGGTCGTAATGTCGCGTAAAAACGTCGTAATGTTGCGTAAAAATGTCGTGATGTCGGGTTGTCCTCCATTATTCTCTTAATATATAGTATCCTTATGGACACTGTTCCTGATGTTGGTCAAGAAATTTCCTCGGGATTTTGCAGCGTGGTTTCTCCGTTGGCTTCTGCGTTGGTAGCGCAGGACGAAGGACCAGTCAAATAGCAGTGTCTAGTTGTGTAGATGGGACAAAAACATAAGCTCCTGTGCAGACATTGGCGTACACATAAAAGAACCTTTCACAATTGGAATTCGATGAAGAAATGCCACTCTCCATTTGTGTCATTTCCCTTATGAAGGCCGACATCACGACCTGAACATGATACCAATCAGCCACCATATTAACTGGGTGTGTAATATGAACAGTGTGATTTTACCACAGTCTCAGTATATGCCTAAATAGGGCCTATTTATTGCTCCATCCCAGTCTCAAGAGAGAAATCTTCGAGACTGCAGGTATCTTTAGAAGTAGTCAGGGTGGGGAGAAGATCAGGAGAATGGATCTCCCCGGAGAGAACCCATGAGTTTAGATAGACGATCCTTACATAAGCCTGCGACCGAAGCCACATTTGATTTAAAAGCCGACGTCATGCTTTCGACGACTCTGCCAATCAATGATAACTTAATTTATTATTTGATTGCAATCATTGATTGTAATTATTGATTGCTTAAAAGATTGTTGTTTTTGTTTGTTTTTTAATTGGGGAGATATTGTGAATCTGGTATATTTTATTAACGTTGACGGAAGTCTGACTTTGTATGACGTGATGACGATAAGTGAGCGAAGTGCGAATTAACCATTTCTAATGTTCCTGGAACGAATTATAGGCAGCAAAGTCCCTTATTTGATTACATAATATCTTGACGACAATGGCTCAGTGGGTGAAAGGCACTGGATCACTAATCATGCGGTTCCGCGTAGAACACACATTTGGCTGAGACATTTCCATGAGATTTTTCAACATGCTTTCCCCTGTCCGTGGTGCAGGACGGCGGATCCGACAAGGAAGAGCGTCTTGTCGTTCGGGAGGTCCATAAATAAGGTGCGGCTTACACGTGCATTTGGCTGTCGGAGTTCAGCGAAGAGTAGGTGGAAACGTGCGCACGCGAGAGAGAGAGAGAGAGAGAGAGAGAGAGAGAGAGAGAGCAGTGGGAGGAAACCGGAGAACCCGGAGAAAACCCACGAGGTCGGACAGGCGACCCTACTCCTTGTCACGTACAACCGGGATCTCGAAACCTCGACTCAATGACAGACTGCATCATACAGCGCGAACGTGCTAACCATTCGGCCATCCAACCCCTCCAAAAAAAAACAATTAGTTAATGAAACACATTTATTATATTCACAAACACTTGTTTTATGTCAAAAATAACATACATGCATCAATTTATACTATTTAACAAAATTGTAAAGAATAACAAATATTAATAGAATTTTTTTTTTATATTTATACAAACACTATTTAGTTTAATATCAAAAATAAAATATGCACTTAAAATCTCATTGCGTCACACGAATCCCTTGCAAACAACAATATTGTAAAAGATGTTGTGTCTTGAGGTATTGTTATTATTATAATGATCTAAGGGAGATAACTACATTTATTATTAGTAACTGTATTCCGATTGTGACGTAATATAGTCATAGTATGATGGCTCCAACATGTATGAATGTTAGCTACTAAGAACAAATTAATATCATCGGGATTAATGTCGTCTGTATTCTATACATCCATACCATAAAAATAGGAATCTCTACTAAAACTGGTTCAATTCCGTTGAGTATTTACAAAGATAATATTGAATACATTGAAATTTCAACGATCTGTGTTGCACGCTATGTCCGCGCCCATTTTGTTATAACTTATGGGCGAACAGAATCGATAGGCCTGTTTTAAATCAGACTGAATCCAATCTGGAAAGTTATCGAGCGTTGTTATTTTGATTTTGAATTCAGAAGTGAGAAATTTGATATTTAACGAAACATCAAACGACGTTAGCCGCGTTCCGACATATACAACTATCGATTCGAAAACATTTCCACATCACCAAACAAGTTCTATATGACATAAACCTGGGTAATTTCAGCAGGCTAAACGTGGGTTTATACCTGATTTTAAAATCTGATGACGATTTTGATTTTGATTTCAATGACAATTCTGTGACAAGCCATTACTGCTCGCGCCGCAGCTCTCTTGTTTCTACAGAGAGGATTAGAAGCATCGTTAGTACAATCTACTGTCATCTCTTTACTTGACTCCCCGTCAACTGTAACAAAAACAAATAAATTTAGACCTATACAAATACAACTACGACATAAAATTGAATATTTGAATACAGTTGTATCGATATCCGGTTTGTTTATTCTGTGTTAAAAGGTCCGTGTTTATTTCTAGAGTTGGGGTCATAGTGGCTAAGCGGGTAAGACGCTCGCTCGCTAGCCTGGAGAGAAAGAGAGAGAGAGAAATGGGGTTTAACGTCCACTCGACACAAACTAGGTCATTTCGGGACTAACATATGGTTTTAATTTTATTTCAATAATTCGCTTGCGCGTAGGGTTCTTCAACAGTGGGGGAAACCGAAGGACCCGGAGAAAACCCACGAGGTTGAATAGGCGACCCTACTCCTTGTCACGTACAACCGGGGATTCGAAACCACGCCAGTTGACTCAATGACAGACCGTATGAACGCTAGCCTGGAGGTCGCATTGGGCGAGAAAGGTTCATCGGGATCTTCAGACGTGGTTTCCACCTGTCAGGGGCGCAAGACGGAGGTCCTGACAAGGACAGCTGTCTAGTCGATCGGATGGGGCAAAAACCGAGGTCACGTGTACCCATTGGCGTAGACATAAAAGATACCTTGGCAGTTGGAATTCGATATAAGAGTAGGCCATAGTGCCGCTGCCCTGGCAAATTTCCCTCATAGCACACTGTATGGTGTATGCCCATCTTCATTAGCCCAGTCGGGGCAGAACAGTAGTAGGACGTAAAACCCAATTTCATTTCATTTCAAGAGTTGGCTCCCTTCAAATCAATATAGTCACACATTTTACAATGACAACACCTCTTTTGTGCATCGTACAGGGATATGTGCGGTTTTTCGTATAGCCATTGTGCAAGTAAAATATTATAGTTACCTCCAACGATTTCATCAATAACCCAAAATGTTGGAATGTCTTTACAATGGTTAGCAATATTATCCCCAGCAAATTTTCTTAAAATATCTCCATCGATGGATTTATTACTGGTATGTACTCGTTTGATTGGTGTTGGAGTGCTTCGTGTCTGTAACAGAAAATAATAAACATGACTATTAAATAATTATGCAATGACTTTAACTCCTCAAGTTAAGTTCTTCTTCTACAAATCGCTAGCATGGGGGTCGCGTGTTTGATCCCAGCATTGGCCGAGAAAGTTCATAGGGATTTTCCGACGTGGTTTCCCCTTGTTAGTGGTGCAGGATGGAGGGCCTGACAAGGACAGCTGTCTAGTCATTCAGATGAGACGAAAAACTGAAGTCCCGTGTATACATCGGCATGCACGTAAAAGTTCCCTTGACAGTTGGAATTCGATATAAGAGTAGGACGTAGTGCCACTGTCCGGGCAAAATTTTCCTCATAGCACACTGTATGGCGTATGCCCGTCTTCATTAGCCCGGTCGGAGCAGAACAGTAGGAAGTTAAACATCATTTCATTTCATTTCTTGTCTTCTACAAATCAATTAAACCGGTAAAACTAAAATATATAATCGATAATCGATTGACTTCGATTAAATCGATAATCAATTAATCAATAGACTTCAATTAAAACTGACAATCAAGATAATCAATTGACTTCGATTAAAATCGATAATCAAATTGACTTCGTTTAAAATGAATAAAATCGATATTTGGTCGATTATTTGACTTTGGTTACTAAATAATATGAAAACAAAAGATATTTACCTTTTGAGCAAGTAAAGCTATACCTTCTTCAAATGTCCCCTCTAATTTATCAATATAACAAACTTTATTAGCCACATCTTTAAATACTAACAATTTCTGAAATTAAAAATACATAAAATATACTCACAATTTTTGCAATATATAGCCGTGGTTCCCCCTTGTCAGTGATGCAGGACGGCGGGCCTGACAAGGACAGCTGACTAGTCGTTTGGATGGGACGAAAAACCGAAGTCCCGTGTACACATTGGCTGCAGGTAAAAGATCCCTTGACAGTTTGAATTCGATATAAGAGTAGGCCGTAGTGCCGCTGTCCGAGCAAAATGTCCCTCATACCACACTGTATCACTATGCCCGTCTTCATTAGCCCAGTTCGGAGCAGAACAGTAGGACCTTAAACCCCATTTCATTTCATTTTATTTTTCAATATATAGCACATTGTTTTAGCAAGTGGTCTAATGCATACCCTTTAAATCATAAGATCTGACATAGATTCGTGTGTCGTGGTTACGATCCGATGTTTTTGTGTAACTAATCTTGTTTTTCTTTCGGAGTTCCCTAGTTCTACTAAAACCCCCACCAAAAGATAAAAAATTGGCATATCATTATCTCGAACGTCGTTCTGTTGAACCCCATTCCTCCCATTCAAGTACAGTTAGGTCATTCTATCTTATATATTATTGTAAATGTATACTTACTCTATTATAATCATGTAAATTGTTGCCAGCCAACACTTCACCATACTGTGTATTATTAACATAAGTTATTCTATTTACATAATCCACACGGGCATGTTCAGGAATATGTTGTCCATTATAAAGCGTTTCAGTATTGTATTCCTGAAAATAATTACATAGTTTATTTATTACCCAATTCACTCCTATTATTGCCATTACCATGGACCGTGTATAGATGGACAGTCAACGCTTACGAAGCCTTTAGAATTCTGTGCCGCGGCAAAAGAGAGACCTGACAATCGTGACTAAATTAAATTAGCTCCCCTCGCGCAAATACCTGTATTAAGTTTAAAAGCAAAGAAACAGCAATCAATTCATAATATTTTTATTAATCTTGCTACTCTTTTTTTTTTTGAAACCCATACTTTGATAGACTACTAACTGATGATTGGGGTGTAAATATATCAACACATCGTCTTTGTTTACTTCGGACGCGTCTATGTGAATCCGAAAAAAAAACGTCGAGTTTTTCTTAAAAACAAATCTACTAAAACACTCTTTTAATTTTTACTTCTGCACAATTAATCATCATTCCTGACAGTATTATACCTGAACTTTATTTTCATCACTTTAAAATCCTTCATACATGCGGGAATTTGGAGTATTAAGCAAAACCAAAATGCTTACAAAACCTACGAAAATATTGAAATCGATAATTTCACAATTTTCAACTGCTGCATTTGGAAATTTCAAAGTTTCAAACTGGACAAATTCGTCACTACCGGATCGGAATACTTATCAGGTTGAAAAATTACCGTGCAACTATAAGAATACCGTAAATTCCAAGGAGGAGTTCGAGAAATTAATCAGTATAAAATCCCGCAATGTCAAAAATCATATCGCTTGATTTGCCGTTGACATTGAGATCTCGCCATGTCTCGCGCGAGCGGCAGAGAATCCAACAAACGGGACTCGTTGCCTGTTCATCTATACACGGTCCATGCCATTACAAATATTAACTAAAAACAAACCCCACAAACCTTATGTTTTGATGCGAAATACACATGTGGAAAATCGTCTATTTACTACAGAAATCAACCACTCAAAACCTCTGTATGATTCGGGGGGGGGGGGGGTGATTAGCAGGTCCGCGTTGTATCATAAGGTATGTCATTGAGTCAACTGGCGTGGTTTCGATTCCCCGGTTGTACGTGACAAGGAGTAGGATCACCTTTCCTACCTCGAATTATTGAAATAAAATTAAACCATGTGTTAGTCCCGAAATGACCTAGTTTGTGTCGAGTAGACGTTAAACCCCACCGCATCCCCCTATTTGATTCGTAATGAGTCTTTAATGTGTATGTTTAAACAAACTAATAGTCCAGCTTTTGCCATTTGAAAAGTTATTTGGAAATAAGGCGATTAGCAGTTAAAAAGGGTAAACATCTTCAGAGATATCAAAATGTTCCCAAGAATTTATTTCTTTTGCATACAATTCATTTCAGCAACTTTCTTGATACAAACTAATTTCTGGCCTGGGATTATGACCTTGTATACCAACATTAATTTAAATTAAATTACGTAAAACATAATGCAGCTTTATTGTTTTTAACGCAAGGTTAAGAACAATAAATCATTTCGAGTTATTAAAATGGCAAACGTTTAATACATTTTCCATCATTTATTCTCAGAAACTTTCGTTAGTTTGAGAAAGACGAAGATATTCTAAGAACTATCTGTGCCTGACAAGAAAAAAATCCAGAATCTTACCTCTGGTTTGTTCATATGTTGGTAAAGTGCCACAGAACCGATAGCACCAAGAGTTATAACCACAGCAGCGCTTATCACTGATGCAGCAATTAAACAATAGTTTTTGTTGTTTTTCTTCACTGTTGGTTGTTGCATAACATTTGCTGAAGGGAAAACCACCTGAAAACGGAAAGAAAACAATTTCACCAAGAAAATTTATAACATTAATACTGAGCTAAATTAATTAAAAGCTAAATCTGCTTATTGCTGACCTTTCTTTTGGTCTCCAATGTTATATAAATGATTAATTAAACTTTCATTCACAAGGCAAGCCAATAATTAACTCTCTAGATCATCGGACAGTTGTGATTTTTAATGGACTGAAACACGATCGCCTTTTAATGATTTATAATAATGGATAATCGAGACATTGTTTATTATCGTAACAATGGTAAAAATTCGAGACTACACTATTCTTATCAAAACTTTAAACACTGATAACTTTGCTCCTAATAAAGTAATTAGACTGAAATTTTTAATATTTATTCGCTTTTCATTATATATTTTTAAACTATTATATCGATAACCAAACAGCTCTTTTATCGAAATCTTAGAATAAAATAATTTGACTACTCTTTTATCGAAATCTTATACAAAATGCATTCGAATAAAGAAATTTGACTAAATTTTCAAAATATTCATTTTTCATTATCTATGTTTAAACTATTTATAGCGAGAACTCTGAACTGTCCGCTCGTTTATTATCTATGTTAAAACTATTATAGCGAAAACTGAACTGGCTGCTCGTTAATTATCTATGTTTAAACTATTATAGCGAGAACTGAACTATCTGCTCGTTAATTATCTATGTTTAAACTATTATAGCGAGAACTGAACTGTCTTCTCTTTAATTATCTATGTGTTATTTAAACATACATTATGCAAGAGCTAAATCTGCCTATTGCAGGTCTTTCTTTAGTCCTGAAATAAATGTTTTCTCAATTATTAATAAGACATTAATTAATTTATCCAGACAATAATCAACTCTCAATGGCATCGCTAGCCTGCGATGTTTATTGGATTAGATTCCAATTTGCTGTTCGACTTCCATTCTTAATTAAATCATGAAATGGATAATCGAGACTATGTTTTTTTTATCCTACCGACTTTAGTAATGATGATCGAGTCTCGGCCGAAAATTCAATCTCAGTTCATAGTGGATCAATTTGACTGAAATTTTCAGCAAATTCCCTTTAAAGTATTTAGTTTTTAACTATTATAGTGAGAACTGCCAGATCTTTATCTAATCTTACATAATGTATCTTTAACTGAACCCACCTTTACATCTTGGTTATTGTCTTTAGTTTGAAGATCGTACATTGGTGGAGACATCTTGAAGACTTATAATCAGGTACTTGAAGACAAACTGCTAACTTCTAATACTTGAAGACAACTGCTAACTTCTAAAATTTCGTTCAATGATAGAACTGTTTGAATTGTGATGAAGATGAGAATGAATTTTTATGCTTATATACTAATAGGTAAAATATTAGCTGACCAATCATAACAAAGCGGAAATATCCGTGTTTGAGAAAAATATATTATTGTTAGATGGAATATTTATTCTGGATTTCGGATACCCAATAGAATCTAGTATAAATATATTATAGGTGGTCAACAATAACTGAACTTGTTCTCCCGGATGTGATACGCCTCCCGGTCATGATACGCTCTATTGAACGACACTGGCTAGTGGCTACAGGTACGCATAGGTAATCACATTGTTTTCAGGTAGATATAGGTTATATAGACATACGTATTAGTTTATATTATGATGGGACAATAGGTTCGTCCTTCCCGGATTTTTCAATATCCAATAGGAATTCTATAGCCTGTGTTTTATTGACATAATTGTGTTTGTTTGTACCTATTACCTGTGTTTTTATATTTATATGTATATCCGTGTTGCTGTTTTATCCATTCGCCGATCGCGCGAAGTTAGTCAAGTGATAGCCGACGGCCCTGACCACATTTCATCCCAACCAACAACCCGCCCCAAGACATATGGGTTTTTTCGTGCATAGCCGTCTATATTTTTGGGGGTCCCCAAGTCTGAAATCCCAACTAGAATGTCCCGGATTAGAATCCCGGCGAGGACCTAGAAGAATTGAGTGATTTTCAGGGGTAGCTATAGTTTACTAGACTGACAAGTAAAATGTTCGGAGAACCGGAAGCTGCCAATTGAATTACACATCACTCATTCCTTACGCCTATTGGTTTATTCCATACTTTGTTACCTAATACATAATGTTATTTTCATTTTTTTTTAAATTTTTAAATGTATTGTATTTTATGTTTCCTTTGACATTGTTTAACACGCTAAAATCAAAGCAAGAGAGGGGGGGGGGGGCTTAAGCAGTAGGAGGACACCGGAGGACCCTGAAAAAACCAACGAGGATGGGAAGGCGACCACACTCTTTGTCGCGTACAAGCGGAGAAACGAAACGACGCCACTTGACTCAATGACAAGACTTTATGATCTAAATTGCACGCGTTAGACCATTAGCGTGCAATGTGCGCATGCGTGGGCATCGTAATGGATTGGCACTTTCATACGTCGGTTCTCTTTAATGTCTTTTGTTGCTGTAAGTTCAGCTTGACAATTATAGTTTCTTTTATACAAGGTGCGTGTTAATAAAACTGTAAAATAGAAACAAATCAAGACCAACCCTACATAACGAGTCTTAGGAAAGAAAATTCTCGCCGATTTTCAGTTCACACGGAAATAAAAAAATTCACACACGGAAACGCCGGCCTTTTAGTAGTTCGTTCTGCACGTGCGTTCATTATAATCCTGGATAATCACTACATTTTAGCAACTGACATAAGTTAAACATATATTATGCAAGAGCTAAATCTGCCTATTGCAGGTCTTTCTTTAGGCCTGAAATGTTATCTTAATTATTAATTAGACATTACTTAACTTATCCAGACCATAATCAACTCTCGCTGTCAACGCTAGCCTACAGATCGCATTTTGAACCTGATACCCCGCCATAATTTATGTTATCTTCAAATCTGAGAGGCCATGATAAACACAAGGGCGTCCTTTTCAAGCTCGAAAATGAAGTCATCACCAAACAGCAAAGTTTACAGAGGTCCTCGGGGCTGTAACCCAAACTGATTACAATGAGCAAATAATTGCTAGTCTGAGTCCATCTTATCTTAGTCTTACAACTAGAGTTATCTTTCCCTGGGATGGTTTATTTTTCTGGAACAATACCGTATTTTAATGACATGCAGAAAGTCACGTGATCAAATTTATTTCCGTAATATGCATGGAGAAAATCTCGAGTAGAAAATCTGAAGTTGAAAGTCGATGTCGAATGTCAAAAGTTGATTGTTGAAAGTAGAAATTCTGTTGTTGAAAGTAGAATATTTTACGACTTAAAAGTTGAAAAGGTGGACGTATTAGGTTGAAAAGCACGAACGGTAATGTTCCCTACACGAAAATGTCTATTTTGAATAAGAATTTTCTCTTTTGCTTTTTATTTTCTACTTTCTACTGCAGATCGCATTTTGAACCAGATACCGCGCCATATATAAGCAGGGCTAACTAATGGAAAAATACAAGTAAAACAATACTAAATTTAACGGTGTCTTTGATTTGATTCTGCAAAAACGACGAACGGCAAAAGATAGGGATAATGCGACTTGATGATCAGGATTCCTTTATTTCCCGCATAATTGTTGATTCTGCAGTAAAAAAACTACCGGGAAATTCACAACGAAACGAAGAAATGCCATGTGCTGATAATACGAGAAAGTGTATATTTTAAATGCCATTTAAAGATATGACTTCTATTCACTTAATTTATTAAATATTTGCTTATCTACGCTTATGAAATAATAATAATCATTATTTACAGTTTTTCGACCATAATTAGATTTCAAGATAATTTAGTCTGAGCTTTTCTCCTAACTTAAATATGAATGGGCAGATTCGTCTGAATTGATGCATATATACTTTGTATAATTTAAACATGTCCGACTAAACTGCGTAGTCAAATGAAAGAAAAAGAAAAATTGCTTATCGGTGGCGATAGCCAAAGTGTCTTAATAAATCTACGCTGATGAAATAAGTTAAAAAAAAAAAACAGAAAAAAACAACAAATTCCTTGCAATGCGTTAATTTTTTTGTTAAGTTTTCAATTTCTGTCAGCTTTATATTCTTCAAACGAAGGGGTCACAGTGGCTATAAAGTGGGTAAGACGCTGGGTCGCTAGCCCGGATGTCGGGTGTTCGATCCCTGCATTGGCTGAGAAAGTTCTTCCAGATTTTACGGCGTGACAAGGACAGCTGTCTGATCGTTCGGATTTGACGGAAAATCGAGGTCCTGTGTACACATTGGCGTGCACGTAAAAGATCCCTTGGAAGTTGGAATTTCGATATAAGAGTAGGCCGTAGTGCCGCTGTCCGGACAAAATTTCCCTCATAGCACACTGTATGGCGTATGCCAGTCTTCATTAGCCCAGTTCGGAGCAAAACAGTAGGACTTTATACCCTATTTCATCTTCTTTTTCTTCAAACGAAAACTAATAATATTTATAATAATAAAGACTGAATTTATAAAAATCATTAGAAATGTGCCTCAAAGAAAACGTACATACTTTTTTCTTTAAAAATGGCTTATGTTTTATTTATTGTTTACATTATTTTTATCAAAAATGGCTTATGTTTTATTTATTGTTTACATATTTTTTATCAAAAATGGCTTATGTTTTATTTATTGTTTACATTATTTGTATCAAAATTAGATATCCAGATAATTTAATCTCTATAGTTTCCGGCTATTTTTAGCCTAGAATAGTAGAACGGTTGAACTCTTTATAGTTACCCCCCCCCTCCCCCTTAAAAATAGGGTTTACAATTTGCCGCATTTTACATTTTATTTTTACCAATCCCTCCGTCCTGCACCACTGACAAGGTCAAACCACACGGAAAATCCCAAGAAACACTTCGGCCAACATCGGGAGCGAACCCGAGACCCGTCTGGTTAACGAGCCAGTGCCACACTGACTGAGTCACCGCGTCTCCCTGACGATTCGTAGACCTACACATTTTCAAAGTGTTCAGCAAACGCCGGTGATTTGCTCTTAGTAGGCCAGTGGGTCTATTAGGTCTATAACTTGAATACAATCTTATCCAAAAAGAATAGAACAAAATACAAAATAAATATATTTATAGGCTTGAATCATTACATCAGCAACGAAAAGAAAAGAACGGGCAAAGTTGAAAATTGTGGTTAAAGACTTAAAGTGCAACAAGTAGTGGTAGTATTTTAATAGTAAGCGCAGGGGGACTGCACCACACACAACTACACAAAACAAATCTACAAGACAGCTGCATATGTTTGTGAAGTTAAGTTCAATCACAAACTTTTTGAACTTGACTTACAAGTAAACCCTCAATTCACCAAAGCGGATATGTCCTCTTTCCAAAAAAAAAAAAGAAAAATATTATCGTTTCATTAAATATTTGCTCGTTTTTTTTTTCTTGTTTTCGTTTTAGAGAAGCAATCGAATCCACTGTAACATCTGAACTGAAAAAATGTCACACTAGGAGCAACTTACATAGATTTGATACGCTCTATTAAATAAATATACGGAGTGTCTATATGTACGTATGGATTGCCAAAGTATTAAATTTATTATACGACCATGTCACCGTGTCAGTCCTTCCGCATTCGTTTCAATGGGGGGGGGGGAGAATGGATAGAGCGTGCGCGTTGTATTATTAGGTCTGTCGTTGAGACAACTGACGTGGTTTCAATTCCCCGGTTGTACGTCACAAGGAGTACGGTCGCCTGTCCAACCTGGTGGGATTTCTCCGGTTCCCTCCCTGCGCGCAAGCGAATTATTGAAATAGCCTAATTTGTCTCTCTCTCTCTCTACCAGACAGAATCATATTAGTGTATAATATCCGAGGTGCAGAAGCGGATTATAGCGGAGGTGCCAAATAAACTCCATAGTTTAAATAAGCTCCCCATATTCTTATTATCATGTGTTTCACCACTGTATACACTGGCAGTCTCCATACAGTTTACTATGAGGGAAAGTTTTCCTGGCTACGATTTACTATTATTTTGATTTCCAACTGTCAAGAGTTTTTTTTAACGTGCACGTCAATGTATACACGGGTCATCGGTTTTGCGTACCATCCTAAAGATTCGATGCGGTTCCTTGACAATGGACAACCACGCCGGAAATTACCGAAGAACAATCTGATTTAAACACAGATCCTATTTCGTTTCGTTTTTTATAGTTCAAAATTTCGTTTTACTTGTCTTCACAACATTAGGATCGGGAAGAGTTGTTATATAATTCGCGTTAGCCAATAAAACGGTATGTTACGGCGAGTTCTTGGCGTACTGTACACGAAACTGTGGGTAAACCACTAGAAACACTAATGCTGGTTGTTTAATCAATATCTGACGTCATAGGTCAAAAGCCGCTCGTATGACCTTTGACGCGACCTATCTCTACAACCAATCAGATCTTCATGTAGTAGAGACCATCGAAAGTATAAAAAAACGAAACGAAATATAGATCTGTTTTTAATAAGATTGCCCGAAGAATAGGCGAAGACGACTCAGTCCGGACAAATTTCCCCTCACACACTGCATCTTCATTAGTCAGGAGATCGAAATCATGGTTTCCAACTGAAATATGCTCTAAATCTAACCTACAGCGATGTTAATATATTTCGCCCTTACAAATAAAAAATAAAAATCAGAAGATCTAAGAGAGAGAGAGAGAGAGGGGGGTGGGGTGTCTTTAGCAGTTGGAGGAAACCAGAGGACAGGGAAAAAAACAACAGGCGACCCTACTCCTTGTCACGTACAACCGGGGAAGTTTGGTAAAAGTAATGCCAAGTGCAATAAATCTATAAAATCATAGGATTTTCTTGAAACCCCATTTTTGCCTGGGATAGCGAACTAGACTCCATCAAGAATGAATTTAATAAATAGAGAGACTCCGACATCTGTGACCTTGACTGATTTAAATAGAAAAAATAGGTGTATTTGCGGCAATTGTCAAAGTTTTATGGCCAAGCCTTTTAAGATGAACGAAGTAATTTAGTATGATGTCGAAAATCAAAGATACACCCCAGAATTCCAGTATTTTGCCATGGAACTTAAAAATCTGAACGTTTCGAATGATAACGCAGCAGCGGTTATAACCGCATGTTTGGCTGTCGCGGGACTAAAATCCAATTACACTCCATCAAAATTTACCGCGCAAAGAATATCATGTGAGCGCCTTGGTGTATCTTTAAAACATGCTTCGGAAATCTAAGTCAGCGAAAAATACGTTATATCCAAAATATGGTTCTAAATTCGGCATATATTCAATAACCACTGGATCGATATATACGCAACTAATTCTTGGTCTTCGTGCAATGGTTGATAAAACTGCGCAAACTACATAAACGACATTAACTTACGCGAAATTTTGGAAGATCTCGACGAAATTGCTGGACCGTTATTTTCGAAATTCTACTTTACCAATTTCGAATTCACACCCCCATCAAATCTCCTTGAAGCTCGATCTTTATTGTATTTCTGTAATACTTATTGTACTTTATCCGGCAATGTGTTTTTGTTTTTTTCATAACAAACATTCTACTGCACAATATTATATTTATTTATCTATGGGACTAAAATAAAGTGTTAAATTTTTAGATTTATAGAGGTTTCTATCCCTCTGTATTACATGCCATTATAAACAGACCGATGTCTGTTGGTGAACAGAAATAAAAGCACTATTTATTTTAATATAAGGCTAATCTACAAACAATTCATGTCAAACGTCATCTTTTCATATCCAGTTAAACATGTATTTTAATTGCCACCGTAGCATTATAATATATATAATCAATTGATATAAAGACGTTTGAAGGCGTGGGTGTATTGTTAAAACAACGAAGCATGCGTACAGATGATAAATTCAATCGTTTCACTGAGTGTATTCCGTTACTTCGCAGTGGGTAAGACGCTGGCTCGCTGCATTGGTCGAGAAAGTTCATCCAGATTTTCCGGCGTTATTCCCCCTTGTCAGAGATGCAGGACAGACGGCCTTACAAGGACAGCTGTCTAGTCGTTCGGATGGGACCAACATCCGATGTCCTATGTACACATTGACGTGGACGAAAAAATCCCTTGGCAGTTGGGATTCAATATAAGAATAGGCCATAGTGGCCCTGCCCAGGCTAAATTCCCCTCATAGCTCATTGTATGGTGTATGTCCGTCTTCATTAGTCCAGTCGGACAGAACAGTAGGAAGTTTTCCGACTGTGTTAAAGAAATTTTCATAACAAGGATATCGGTTACAATTTTAATGTGACCAAAGTACATAACACGTATTGTCACTAAGAGTAAACTGCCTTGATCGTGGGACCCGTTTAGAATTTTCTCAAATGGTTATATCCTCCAAAAATCGAACGTGGCCAGACTTCTATTGTTGATGAATGAATTTTTTATGGTAATTCTTATCATAATCATAATGTTAAAATAAGCCCGAAATATTGTCTGTTTGTTGTAAAAAGACGAATAAGAGTCCCAAAAACTGTCCCAACTGGTGTTTTCACGCATACTCATCATTAAGTTCCGACTGTTGAGGGATCTTCTAAGTATCCACGAGTATACCTTGGGTTTTCGAGGCAACCGAATGAATAGCGCCTGATCGTTGCGAGGGACACCCATCTGGTAAATCCCGAGGAACCTCCTCAGCCAACACCAGGACCGAACCGGTAACCACTGCTGGTAGGACATCGGCCTTAGATGTTTACAGCAGAAATAACATATAACAGTCAATATGGTGTAAGGTAAATAAGTTTATTCTTATTTCAATACTTTATTTTTCATACTTATACAAACCAGGATTGCTTCATGGTTTCTATAACCCCACACGCAAGTCTATCTCCAAATGTTCCTGATTCGTCATCTCCGGAGTGAATCTGTAAAATATGAATTGGATTATGCCATAGTTTATTAAACATGTATATTGCATCATAGTAAAGATGGAATTATAATGGTCGCATATTTAACAATATTGTTGGACTATTCTAATGGGACATAAAACATACACACTTCCCTAGACAAAGGATGATATACTAAGCCCGTTACTCTTCTTTGATTGTTTGTTAGATTTCTAAATTAGAAACTCAAGAGGTTAAACAAGCGACCAATAATACCATGTACAGGGTGACCCTCCAAAAAACAAAAGCCACATATCTTTGAATATATCTGTGAATTTTAATTGTTCCTCTTTGGAAAGAACATGATTGTTATGCTAAGCGACCAAGATATAGTTCCAGTTTACATAGGCAAACCAATGCGTTTAGTTGCAAATACCTACCACAACACCTCCCCCGATAATCCTACTGATGTCCACTCCAGTATCTTGGAATTTCTTTAACACCAAACCTTCATTATTGACAGTTAAACTTCCAAACTCAGTACATGGCCTATAATTACACAAATTATAATGTAACGTTTAACTGTCATGACCAGAAGTCATATATTGTTTACTTCTGTTTATCAAAGAGAAATATTTCTCGAAAACCCCATCCAGAGAAATGCGGTTTAACGTCCACTCGACACAAACTAGGTCATTTCAGGACTAACATATGGTTCAATTTTAATTTAATAATTCGCTTGTGCGTAGGCGTCTGGTCATTTTTATTTGAATAATGGGTCTTTAGCAGTGGGAGGAAACCTGGGGACCCTGAAAAAACCCACGAAGTTGGACAGGCGGCCCTACGCCTTGTCAGGTACAACCAGGGAATCGAAACAACGCCAGATGACTCACTGACAGATCTTATGATACAGCGCGCATGCGCTAACCATTCGACCATCCAACCCATCGTAACACAATGTAAGATATTTAGATTACAACTAAAGTATAAGTTCATAGCTGTACTTCCCATTTAAACCAGAAATTGTAATCTTAAACATAATTTATTCAAAAGCTAAATCTGCCTATTGCAGGACTTTCTTTAATTCTTACATAATGTCTCATAATCTAAGAGTGTTTACCTCGGAGGAATACCATTACCAATAGATTCACAGCCATTTGTCATATTACCAAATGGATATTTTCTCATACAGTAGTTGCGAGTACCGTCATCACCATTATCAAAAAACCCGTTTAACTGAATGTCGACCTCAAGTGGTCCCCCTGGCTAGAATAAAAATTGTGTATATTATAGATGGTGTGGTAGAAGGTACTAAATTTGTGGGTACACTGTTCAAAATGGGTGTAATCAAAAACTATAAAGAGTGTAAAACATGTGTAACTAGCCAAAACGAACTACACTAACAAGTGTAACTGATATTTTCGACCATTTAACACCTGTGTGATTGTTTTCATATGCGCTTTATGGTGCATTGGGTGACCTACAACCATTTGGGTGTATATGGTAACTTACACCAAACAGGTGTAATAATTGCTGACAAACAAAACCTAGTGAGATGTAGATTTTACATTGTGCATAGTGCTGCAAACGTTTTAGTATACACGGCCCAAACTCGGTGCAAACTAAAAGTTGTATTATAACACACCGAAGTACTTCTAGTTCTACCACAGTACAGTGTAGACCCTAAGTCAACTAAGTTGCAAATCTAGTTATGAGTATATTATTATACTTAGAAGTCACGTGATATCCTACATTTGCATATGAAAGTTGATGCTGTGCGAAAGTTGCTATGTAGAAAGCGTGAATGACAAATGGGATGTGGCAGAGCGCAAATGTAAAATGTAATGAGAGAAATGTAAAATGTAGACACGTCAAAAAAGCAATTTCCCACTAAACAGTTGTCATTTAACACTTAACATTTGATGTTTTACATTTAACTCTTGCCTTAGAGGTATTTTGACTTTGTACATTTTTAATATAATCAATGGAAACGACTTGTCGCAGAGCATTTAATATAGGCAGCGATACCCTTCCATACGTCCGATCACACAGGGGCGACGATAATATACGTCCACATGAAAATGTGGGCATATATAAATCGATACAATGGAGCCTCCTTTAAATCACATGTGACGCGGCATTCATAAGCAGACATCAGTAATTATTGGGGGATCACGCGGCATCATAAGCAGACATCAGTAATTATTGGGGGATCACGTGGGTAAGACGCTGGCTCGCTAGCCTGGAGGTCGGGTGTTCGATCCCTGCATTGGCCGAGAAAGTTCATCCAGGTTTTCCAGCGTGGTTTCCCCTTGTCAGTGATGCAGGACGGAGGGCCTGACAAGGACAGCTGTCTAGTCGTTCGGATGGGACGAAAAACCGAGGTCCCGTGTACACATTGGCATGCACGTAAAAGATACTTGGCAGTTGGAATTCGGTATAAGAGTAGGCCGTAGTGCCGCTGCCCGGGCAAAATTTCCCTCATAGCACACGGTATGACGTATGCCCGTCTTCATTAGCCCAGTTTAGGAGTAGGACGTTAAACCCCATTTCATTTCAGTAATTATTGAAGGCTTCATAGATCCAGAATATAGCTCTATCCTATGTCCAGCTGTTACAAACTATGATGACCTAGTTAAACTACTGGTTAAGGACACCGAAATGTTTTCTTCCCGTGACAAGTTTCAAGAAATATTTTTAAATACTCTATCATTTTCTATTTTAAAATTCAGGAAATATGTTATTTACCCATTTCAACAGTTGATTCAATTATATCTGAATACCTTCGCTAAATGAAGATACAATTAATTCATTAAAGAATTAGATATAGCAGCTGACATTATGGATAAAATTAATGAATGTTTCTTGAATAACATTTTTGATAAATCATATTATATACGTAATAAATATTGGAAGCGTCAATCGAGGTATGTAGAGCCTCTACGTATACCATTAGACAAAGTTATGAATATATCCCATTACTAGAAAGTTTAAGATCACTTGTATCCATCAAACGAGTAGGCCTATTAACCGATATAATATATTTACTTTCACAACCCAACTCTGATGTTTTATTGGATTATAGTCATGGTATATTTTTCAAAGGAAATGATTTGTTTGCCCATAAATTTTTGTAGTCATCAGATAGGTGGATTTACAGTGAGTTTTAGTTCTAACGTGAGATGCATTTGTAGATTTTGTATGGCATCACCCAGAGGCGGACGCCCCCCCCCCCCCCCAATTTTCGACAGTGCCCTTTTTTACTGCTGAAAGTGCCTTTTCTCCGACCCAAATATGTCCGTTCCCAACCCGTTGCAGGGATCCCAAATTACTCAAACCATCGACTCAAACACACCAATCTGGTCTAATTAATGCTTCCAATCTAATGATAGGAAATTTTGTACCAACATTTTGTACAAATTTTGTTGTTCCTAAAACAATTTTCTGTAATTGTATGCGCACCCAAAAGAAATGTAAATGTTTTGATAGATATAATGAATACTAAAAAACATATGTGAATATTGCAGATCCATTAAAATGCAACATCCTCTGATTAAGTTTTCATGATAATCTTTTGAAATTTAAAAAAAGAAAAATACAAAATGTTGATGTATATCATGGCAAGGCAATGGAGTAAATTAAGTGTAAAGTACTGCATTCACTAGAGTTGAGTCTCCTTGTGTCGATAATTTCATTATGGTTATATTCTTTTTACCTAACAGGTATGTACACAGTAACAGTTGTGGCAACTCATGAGAATTCAACAAAAATAGTTACACTTGTATCCAAGGATATGCATTTGAAGCTTAAAAACATATTTGAGTTCCCTAAATCAGATCATATTGTCATCCAAAAATTCAACAAGGATTGGGACATAATATAGACATTGAATCTCCAAAAGAAATTTAAAATAATTCGAAAATTAAAATTGTTGTGTGTAAAAAAGAGTGGTGTCAACAAACTCACTGGGAGTGAAGATGGATGGCTCAAGTATTTATAGTGACCATGAGGCAAAAACGCGATCCGCTAAAGACACCCATTGGGGCTGAAGAAAAATTAGATTTGAGTCTACTCTCAACATTATTACAACCATTAGATTGGTGTACTCGCAATGAATTGACTGAATGTTTGTTTCAAAATCATATATTTAGATACGCCTTCTATCCCAAGCCTGAGGAAGTAAGTTTGATCTGTAGAAACCTTCTTGTACAGCAGTTTCCAAACTTGATGGAACACACTGGAAGCGGTTATGACGCATTGAGACAAAGAATCATAAATAAACTAAAATATGCGAGAAGACCAATGGACTTGCCGGAAAGTCTCATCAAGAAAAGGAAGAGAAAACATACTTCATGTTCTCGCAAGACATATCCCTCTTTGCAAAACAAAGGTATTGTAAATTGGTCTCTTCCCGAAAGCTTTGGCGAATACATTGACAAAGAAAGTTTAGATTGTGATAAAAACACAGAAGAGCTTCAAATAGCATACGGAAAAGACTTTAACAAAATAAAGCAGCTCATGAATGCTACTTTTGCACAAAGAAGGAAGCTAATAAACTCAGGGGTCACAATTGTTGAGATTTTAGATACGTATCCGACACTAAAAATGAAAGAAGAACTTTGCTCTGAATTTGAAAGACTGATGATGTCAACAAACCTGATATCCCCCTTCCTGTTCAACATACTTTTTTTTTACTTTAAAGCAAACGGGTCGGACAAGCGTTACTAAAACTTACAAAAGAGTCCTCTCCAACACAATATAATTGCCGTAGTTGGTCAGTGAAACAAAGTCAATAAATGTACATATCAGATGCTAATAACCAATAAATGAACAAGACTAACATATTTACACAAGTTCAGTGTATTTAAAATATAGACTAGCGACAATACCTTGGGATAACATATCTTACAACAGCCAAATATACGAAAGTGTGTAAGGTTTGTTTGATGAGGTTCGAATATTGAATCAATTTCTATTTAAAATGAAAACTCTTTGGTGGGCGGTAGCGCGTGTTTCCATTCTAGAAACTACATCAATTTGACTGCAATGTTCAGCAAATTCCCTTTACATGATCTAGTTTTGTAACTATTAAAGCGAGAATTGCCAGCTCTTTATATAATCTCCCATAATGTATCTTTAATCAGAAAGAGAGACTGTTAAGTCTTCAGTTCGTTTGTAAACGCTTTAAGCATATTGTTCAATCACCATTATTTTGGACAGAGGTTGATCAGGACATAATCAAGTCTAAATCTGGACTTTAATGTATTACTCTATTGCATAATTTGTATACTAAGAGACTGTCATTATCAGGTCGATGGGCGTCTTCAATTTATCCTCGTACTTTAGGCATACATTTAATGCCGGGGGGATGGTCGAATGGTTAGCACGTACGCACTGTATCGTAAGGTCTGCTCATTGAGTCAACTGGTGTGGTTTCGATTCCGCGGTTGTACGTGACAAGGAGTAGGGTAGCCTGTCTAACCTCATTTGTTTTCTCCGGATCGTCCGGTTTCCTCCCACTGCCAAAGACCCCTACGCGCAAGGTGTAAAGTCGCCTATTATTTTTAACTGTGTACAGAAGGCAGGGGCAATACCAGTTGTAAAACATGGAATACATCTTATAATACGGAACATCTTATAATCATACTCCGAATGTGAAATCAAAACCGATAGGTATTGCTCAATTTAAACGCGGAAGTCCAGAAAGTATTAATGGCCAGTTGTATTTTGTTTTCGTTAAGATTTAGAGTGAGGCCTGTTTTAAGGCAAAACCCTAAACACTATTTTATTTATTACTTGGGTCCAAGCTAGGTATTAAAGGAAAACTTAGTCTACATAACGTTTATTGGTCACAGCCTTATCTATTGGCTTAATCATAATTTTAGTCAGATGATTTGTTATTCTATTGTATAGGACAGAAATAATAATTCATTCTAGAAGGACTTCAAATATATTGAAACAATCTACACCAAAGTTAATTCGACCTACCTGGTCTATATGGTAAAATTTCTAATATTACTCTTGAATAAACTCACCAATTGCTTTATGAAAATGTTTCCGTTAATATTGTTGCGTCCATCGACTGGTAAACTTGGGTTCGGTGCCACACGACACACAGCATATTGATAATCTTTAAACATACAAAATATAAATAACAATACAAAATTACTACATTTCACATGTTTTCTGAGAATATGGATTGGAATCTTTAAAAATTAGACATATAAAGCAAAATATATCGGCTGCGGTGGATATATTAGTACACATTATTATTATTGGTTAATATCATACGCCACATAGATTAAGGGCATCGTATAGTTTAGTACTATTAGTTTAAAACGTTAATTTATGTGATCTGGAAGTATAAAATACTAGCTCCATGATAACATATATCTTTTAAAAAGTTAACTTACCATTGCAACAAAACAGTTTCAGTATATTAAATCGGTCATTGCAGATTTCTATAGTGCGATCTATTGAGCCACAGAAAAGGGCGTCCAACCCAACAACCATAGACAGGAAAACCAATGATACAATACCTCCAACCATCATACCTGGTAATAAGATTGAATACAGAAGCGAATCTGAATTAATGCCGTTATTTATCTATCTTATATATACATTTCAACCAATGAAAATTCGGTTTCAAAAATTTTATATTTACTTTTCAACCAATGAACACTCAGTTTCAAACATTTTATATTTAATTTTCAACCAATGAGCATTCGGTTTCAAATATTTTATATTGACCAAAATTCCATAAATCTATCATGTATAGACCGCTTAAAGAGCCTTGATCCCGAATTTTCATTGCAGCCGATATTTAACAAGTTACTTATCCTTCCTAGCGAGAATTTTATACAAAATTTCACAAATCTATCATGTATCGGTTAAAGAGCCTTGATCCCGAATTTTCATTGCAGCCGATATTTAACAAGTTACTTATCCTTCCTAGCGAGAATTTTATACAAAATTTCACAAATCTATCATGTATCGCTTAAAGAGCCTTGATCCCGAATTTTCATTGCAGCCGATATTTAACAAGTTACTTTTCCTTTTATACATGTCAGCTACTTAAAGATGCATTATGTAAGAGCTTAGCCTGCCTAATGCAGATCTTTCATGTGGCCTCAAATGTTATATAATCATAAATTACGCATATATTCGCATGTCAAGCCCATTTAAACACGATTGTCAGTTAATAATTCAATTAAAAAATGGACAATCTAAACATTGTTTATAATTGTAACAACGGTAGCAAAGGACCTCGCTTCAAACTCGCTAGTTCACAGTTTCTGTGTGGTCTAGTGGTTTAACGCGTGCGAGTGAAATCATAAGATCTGTCATTGAGTCAAGTGGTGTGGGTTTTCTCCAGGTCCACTGGTTACCTCACACTGCTAAAGATCCCTATACGCAAGCGCATTATTGAACTAATTTGAACCATATGTTAGTCCTAAAACTAATATAAGAATAACAGGATTTGAGGTCTAGAGTCAATGCTAATTTGTTATTGTTTAGTATACTAGTCGCGGAATTCTACCAGATCTCTCAAGGTCAAAGTCTATTCCATATTTGGGAAACTTTTGACGTCCGTAGGGCTAATTGACCAGATAAACAAACGCCCGGCTGCTGACAAAGATAGGTACACAATGAAGAAAGCAGGGGACTATTAAAATGGGTTCGTCTGTCTGTCCGTCACACTTTTTGGGACACAATAACTCTCCTTCTAATTGAGCTAGAATGTTCAACCTTAGTGTGTGTGTTTATTAGGTCAATGCCTTGATGGAGTTGAGCATTTTCTGCTCAGGATAAGCACAGATAGGCAATTTGATTTTTTGATGCTTTGGGACACGATAACTTTAGTTCTAATTAAACATACATTATGCAAGAGCTAAATCTGATTATTGCAAGTCTTTATTTAGGCTTCAGGTGTCATAAAAATTATAAATTAGATCTTCATTTACACAACAAGCACAAAATCAACTCTGTAAACCCACGGATGGCTTGGATTCAGCTTGGATTTAAACGGGATTTCGTTGACTGATTTAATTTTAAATGGCGTCGTGAGCGGAGATTAACCGTTACGTTGACGTCATACTCCCGGATCGAGGCTAAATGATAGAATGTACGAAGCGAGGCCGCTGTTGAGCGATGCCTTAACAAATGACATCTAAACTATTTAAAGTGCAATAAACTAACCACAGATAATGACAAATTATACAATTCCTGGAGACAGTGTGATGACTAATACAGACGGACAGGTCTTCTGTCTTAATAATATCAATAAAAACATTTTTATTTCCCCAATAGGCACGACGCATTTACCCTCTCACTCATTTTGTCCAATTGTTATAAAAATCCAAAAAGGTAAAACACAAATTCGGATATGATGACAGCAGACAAAAGACAGCAGCGATTATGTAGGTGGAGTTAACGCCTGTCAATCAAACGATCGGCCATACTAAGAATCGGTGAAGATGGAATTCAATCCCATTTCTAGTAAAAAATTACACTGGTGATAACTATGTTCAGAATAAAGTAATTTGACTGAAATTTTCAATATATTCTTCTTTCATCATCTATTTTTGAACTGTTATAGCAAGAATGGCTAACTCCTTATAAAAAAAATCTCCCATAATGTATCTTTAAGCGAGAGTGACGAAACTTGGTGTATAGTTTCATTATATCATTACCTTGACTAAGTTCGATAACGAGCTTTCTCTGCTCACGGTAAGTAGAGCGATAAGCAATTTGATTGGCTGATGCTTAGGGACACGATAACTTTAGTTCTAATTAAATGAAAGCTTGGTGTAAAGTTTCACAACATCAATTCCTTGATTAAGTTTAATTATAATGAGCATTTTCTGATCAGGGTAAGCAGGGCGATAATCAATTGGATTGATCTAGACATTGTAACCCAATAACTCTCCTAATTGAGCTAGAACGTTCAAACTTGGTGTAGGTGTTTATTAGGGCAATGCCTTGATGGCGTTCGAAGATGGGCATTTTCTGCTTAGGGTATGCAGAGATAAGCAATTTGATTGGTTGATGCGTTGGGGCATTATAACTTTAGTTCTAATTAAGTGAGAGTGGTGAAATTTGGTGTATAGTTTCATTACATCAATAGCTTGATTAAATAAGTTCAATAATGAGCATTCTGCTCAGACTAAGCAGAGCGATAAGCAATTTGATTGGTCGAGACATTGGAACACAATAACTCTCATTCTAATTGATGTGGAACTAGGATGTTCAAACTTGGTGTAGGCTTTCATTAGGCGAATGCCTTGATGGAGCTCGATGATGAACATTGTATGCTTATGGTAAGCAGGGATAAGCAGTCTGATTGGTTGATGCTTTGAGGCACGATAACTTTGGTTAAAATTAAGTGAGAGAGATGAAACTCCCGAGTATAGATTCATTATACTGTATCATTACCTTGACTAAATTCAATCAGAATTTTCTGCTTAGACTAGGGGGGATAAGCAATTTGATTGGTCAAGACTTTGGAACGTAACAACTCTGCTTTTAATTGAGGTAGAATGTTTAAACTTGATGTAGATGTTCATTAGACGAATGTCTTGACTGAGTTCAATGATTAACAGTTCGATCTAGCTGAGTCAAGCAATTTCATTGGTTCGATGCTTTGGGAAATGATAACTTTGAATCTATCTGATAGAGTGATGAAACTTAGTGTATAGTTGATAATCAGTTTGATTGCTTGATACTTTTGAAAAAAAAAATGTTCGATTAATTAATATGTGTCATCTATTTATTTTGGTATTTCGGCGGGGGACATCAGCCTCACTGTTGGTTTGTTTATTATTTCAAGTGGGATGTTAACCACTGTGGGTATGAACCTGATCGATTTTCAGTGTTCTTGAGTTACCACCCCAAGCCCCACTGCATTTCGAAAACTTTGTGAACACGATAAAGATCACAATTGTTTTGTTTTTTTTTTAAAAAAGGGTATTTTATTTTCAAATTGGGTGTGAGACATTAGGATCCTTAGTCAACGTATTATATCTTAACTCGATTAACCGAAATAATTAATTCAGTTAAACGAAATAATTTATTTGACTAAACGAAATAGATAAGTCGATTAAACATAATAATTCATTCGATTACTATTTCGTTTAAACGAATTACTATTTCGTTTTAACGAATTACTATTTCGTTTTAATGAATAACTATTTTGTTAAAATGAATTATTGAAATGAACTAATATTTTGTTTAAACGAAAAAATGATATAAGAATGGAATCGCGCATGTAAGGGTCTCCTTGGGATGGTGAACATTTTCGCCGATACATGGGGTCATTAAGGGCTACACAGTATGATTGTTCGATGCTTTATAAAACGATAAAATTCCTGGATATGTAGCTTTATAGACGGGGGGGGGGGGGGTCGTCCGTTTTCCGCCCCTAAAATTCCAAACAAATTTCTAAGATCTGACTGGAAAACACGATTTCCAGCATTCTGGACATAACTTACTTGTAAGCTGTTCAAAGTCAGGAAATCAAAACCAATTGGCCGTGACTAAAACAAATGGCGGGAAGTGAAATAAAAACTTTTAGAATTATCACCAAGCTTACATTATTATAACCAAAAATTTAACAGATTTATATTTATAACCGTATGCCAGCATCACTGGTGGTCTAAAGCAACGTCCTAAAATCAGACGAACATACGCTGTAACCTGCACCTGGCGGCTTTGTTCTTCGCACATCGGCGGTCGTGGTGAGTCACTTGAGCCATCACTACTTTATGTTCAGAGTACTAGTATGCGTTATACTGCATAGAATATTATGAAACAACACCACCGAGAAATTATTAAAATAGAATGTCCACCTCCTATTGTAATCAATGATATTTAAATAAACGTGAAGTATGTTCTCTGAAATCCTTGTCGCGAGTCTTAAGCTTGTTTAATCTCAATAGCTTTTATAATATTAGTTGGTGTATTAAATATGTAGATATTTATTCTGGGAATCTAATTATGATTATTGGCATTTAGTTAACTTTATTACATATACCTAATGAGCTTCCCTCAAAATACGTGGTCTTTCGCAGGATCATCATGTCAGCCAAATGTGGGAAAGGGGTGAAGTCAAAAAGTTTTCACGTAATGTTCAGTGAAAGCTTCAGAATATAATATTCAGCATCGTCAGTAATATTCAGCCAGCGTGTCTTCAGTATAATATCTAGCACGTGGATTATATAATCAGAATATATAGATGAATTCATCCGTATTCGAATTCTCTAATTAGGTTATAATAGGCCCATGCGTGTGCGAACTGATTGGGCTATTCTAGGCCCATGTGAAACTTAATGTAAGCTCATGTGTGAACTGTTTAAATTTGTAGTAAATTGTGCTGGTTAGCTGTTAATATAAAGTTTATTACATGGCAGAACTGAATGTTTCAGAAAAGAATTAGAAAGCATTGACTTCCTTGTATTCGTCCGCAGAGTATCATTCCTCTGTCAATATTGTTTGGCTGCTTCCGAGATGCTATAATAACCCTACTGATAGCATTGTTTAAATCCTTAAAT